TTTAGGGAGGAATCAGAGAAACGTGAAATAGAGATGGCGGTTTAAGCACATGTGCTGAGAAGCTCCATAAAAAGGAAGAAAACCTCTTCATTAGGTAGATTTTTCTCTCCATCATGCTCCCCTGTTGGTTCAGATCTTCAGTGGCTCCAGACATCCAGTCAAAAACCTTCAGACTTTACTTAAGCAAAACTCCCTTGAGTAAAGGGACTCCCTTGAGAGGAGGGGAAAAATATATCCAAGCTTCTGATGAGAGACAAAATTTCAAGAAAAGGTAACTTCAAAATGGGCTTCAAGTTTCTCTTTTAAATATATATTTGAACAGATTTCTCTAAATCTGCTATAGGGTTACAGGTGGGCAGAAGGTGTGTGGTCTCCTTGACCATTCATAAGCATTGGCTAACAGTGAAACAGTAAAAACAGGAGGCTAGCAAGCTGTTCCCATAACCTTGCACATATTTGCCCATCCATTTGTAGCTAGTCTTTTTCTGCTCCCAGAAGTCCTTTATAAACCATTACAGGCCAGCCAGCCTCCGGTTTTGGGAGGCACACACTGCTGCCATTTGCGCCATGACACATTATTTGGTTTTTAGATCCTGGGATTTCCCAGTTTCTAGTTTTGCTGCCACACTGCAATTATGCAGCACAGTGAACAGATTAACTTGCACCTCATCCATTTTGCAGCACCTCAAAAAGCTCAGAGGTGCTGCAAACTGCATATTCCCACTCACAGCGATGCAACCTGTGTATTGAGAACAGAGCTTGTTGAAATTTACTGACTGAAATACAGTTGTTCCAATTATTTTTTCCTTGTGAAAAAAACATTTTCAGAGTTTGGGACCAGAAAGCTTGAATAAAATGAACAAAAAAAAATAAAAGCACATTTATGGAAAGGAACTGAAATCAGCAGGAGTCAAATCTCTGCCTGGCATTACTCCATTAGATTCCAAAGTTAAGTTCCATAAGCCAAGAAAAGAGGAGTCCAGCAGGTTATACTCTGCTTAGCTAGCTAATTAGTTGATAAGATAACAAGCAACACCTATTAAATAAACCCCTTTCTATTGGGCAGGACATCCTGGCAGCATGGGTAGTAAGAAGTCTTGGAAGGGATGTTTTCAGATTGGCTGTATTAGTACTTCCCATAATAATAATGTGACTACAGTCTGGAAGGAACAACCAGTTGCTAGTGGCCAGATCCAACTGCCCTGACTTAAGTGCAATCCTATCTCATCATGCTCAAGTGCCTGAAAAAGAGTTAACACAGAAGGTGGGTGGGTCATCATACTATTTGCTGCTTCTTGTGACTTACTCCCAAGACTAAGATGATTGCATGTTACCATTAACATTCTTTTGCTGCCTTGAGCAGGAGCACATTTATGCCTGTAATTTGCAGAGTAGGATCCTTCCCAAAGTGTTTTTGTTCCCCTGTATGACAGAGATGACACCTGTCATCAGCTCTTTCTTTTCAGCGGGAGATAAATAAGCCAACAAAGCCAATAGAGTTAGATTTTTTTGCTGTGAATGGTGCTCTGGGACTGAATTTCTCTCTCCATGTTATTCAACCAGAATCCCATGCAGCCACTGAAGAAGTGTTTCCCCCCTTTGGTTGCTGCAGTGAGAACATCCCCTCTTGTCTCTGTCCACTTTAACCCCTGACATCAGAACCTCTTGCCCCCTGTTCCAGCCATCCTGCCTGCAGTGAAATAGGAGCAGTAAGCTGCTCTGTTAGCTTATTTTGCATTTTGAGTACTTCCCAAGACTTACCTTGTGCCAGCACTAATGATTGTTGAGTTCCCCAGTGTAGATGCCATCAGTGCTAAAATGCAGACATATTTATCTCCTTCTAGTCCTCTGGGAGGATGGATTGCCTGCTCCAGAAACATGTTCCCTTCCCCACCTTCAAAGGTCACATATGTTGCTCCCAGTTTCTGCTGCAAAAGGCTCACCCTCTCCAGGTACCAGCTCACTGCAGCATTGCTGGTGACATTTAACCGGACAGAAAACTGCCCTTTCCACGTAGTTAGCAGAGGTGCCTACAATATAACAAGAACTTCATGAGGCCAGGGTAAAACTGTCAGGCAATTACTGGCACAAGTGCATCTGTGGTTGCATTACTGTGGTTGGAAGGCAACTGAGATGGCTCTTGATTCTCATGCAGTAAGACATAAACTGGTCAATGGGGAAAGTCAGTAAGAAATCCTTGCCCTTTATGTCATATAATGCTTCACCTGGTAAATATTCATTGTTATTTATTCAAATTGCATTAAGCTTTAATCAGAGGGTTAACGCACATTTCAGTGCCCTGGACAGCGCGGGCAGGGGGGAGGTAGAGGGCAGAGTGAGCACTTTCCTCTTGGCATAGAAGCTGCAGCAGCAGGGCACAGTCCATGGAGGCTGCTGGTTTGGTGCCCCCTCTGAATCAGTGCCTGTGGCTGGTGCCATGGTCACTTCCCCCTCCCAAAAGCTATGCTACTGGCTTTAATATTTTCTCCAAAAGCCAGTGGCTCAGGGCATGGCTGTTCAAAATTTGGGCAACATGGGGCCACATAACCATGCAGGTTAACCCTCCTGCCCAGGCCTGCCACACACAGCATGGGCAGCCCAGCTTCTCCCTGCCACATATCCACATTCTTCCCCCTCCACAACTGAGCACACCACACAGGCAGCCTCCCCTGTACTGCATATGCAGCCTGGCTCCTTCTCTTGCTATGCAAAGAGCATGGGCACCTTGAAGCCCCTGCCATGCATACAACATAGGCAGCCCAGCCCTCTCCTGCTGTGCTCTACCACCTACCTCCACCCTCCACCCCTCACCCCCCGCACCCATGAGCAGGGGCAGGAAGTGGGAGCTGGAGGAGGGAGGGGGAGCCTGGGGACCCCAGCTGACACTGCAGCAGGAGCAATGGGGGGAGCGGCAGGTGGGCAGAAACCCTCAGGCTGCATGAACCTGTGAGCAACCAATTGGACATTGTTCTGGATGCAATTCTGGACAGACTGGACTATGCAGGCCCAGGTATTCTTTCTGTGCCTTCTGGAGAGCAGGACTTTCCAACACAAGCAACAACAGTGAGTTATCCATTTTTACTGGGAGTTAGGGGCCTGATCCAAATCTCACTGAGATCAAAGCGAGCCTTTTCCACTGAGTTCACCGAGTTTTGAATCAAACCTTAAGCACCTACCCGACTCTTCAGGTGCCAGGCATTACGTCTGAAAGTCCCCCCCACCCCC